TGGAGGTGTGTATACGGAGGTGTGTATAATGGAGGTGTGTATATGGAGGTGTGTACAATAGAGGTGTGTATATAGAGGTGTGTATAGTGGGGGTGTGTATACGGAGGTGTGTATACAAAGGTGTGTATACAAAGGTGTGTATATGGAGGGTCTGAGGACAACTTGCAGGTGTCAGTTCTTTGCCTCCACCATGTGGGACCTGGGGATCAAACTCAGGTCATCAGACTTGGCAGCAAGTGCCTTCATCACTGAGCCATCTTCCTAGCCCTAAGGGTCTTTTCTATTTTAGGATTAGAGGGCAAGTTTAAAGATATTTGTAGAGACAGTGCAGTGTATTCTTTACCCAGTTCCTGTAATCTTAAACTTTTATTAACTATTGGACGTCACAAAACTGAGGGGCACAACACTGGCATTTCTATGAACTAAACTGTAGGCCTTATTTAGACTTAGAAGCTTTCCCATTAATGACTTGGTTTGTTTGTTTGTTTGTTTGTTTGTTTTAAGACAGGGTTTCATGCAACCCCAGGCTGACCTCCAACTCAATGGAAACCATGAACTTCTGGTCCTCCTGCATTCTCCTCCCAAGGGATAGGCAAGCGCTGTGTCTGGTTTCTGTGTGCTGGAGATTGAACATAGGACACTATCAACTGAGCTACAGCCCTAACCCCTTGTCTGTTCAGAAGACCAGAAGAGCAAGAGGTTTAGAGACCAAAAAAGCAGCTCTGGCCCCAACAGTCACACTGATTTTTTCCACCTCAGATATGGATTATATATCTAATCAACCTCTTTCTTTCCTCCTCTTTTTTTTTTTTTGAGACCAAGTCTTATGTAGCCGAGGCTGGCCTTTAGTCATTATGAAGCCAAGGATGACCTTGAATTTCTTCCTGACCCTCCTGCTTCAGCCTCCTGAACACTGAGATGCTGGGATGCTGGCTATGGGGATTTACAGGTATACTCTCAGAAGTAAAAGAACCCAAAGGCCAGCACAGCTGTGGGAAGCCTGCACTGCACTAACTTCCCATCAGGGACAGGATCTGGGAATCTGGGAAGGGCCTTCTCATTCCCTGGAGGTATAGTGCTAACTTTTTTTTTTTTTTGGACAGGGCACCGAAACTGGCTTTGAACTCCTTACCTTCCTGCCTCCATCTCCCAAATTCTGGGATTACAAACACATCACCAAACCCAGCTTCTGTCTTCAGTGTCTTTCCCCCCCATAATCTTATTGATTCTTTGGGAATTTCACATTATACATCCCAATCCCACTCACTTCCCAGTCCTTCCATATCTACACTCCACCCTTGTAACCTCCCCCTGAAAGAAAATTAAAATTAAAAAACAAACAACAAAATGAATCACCAGATGAAGCAATTATTTATATTGTTCTATTATTAAATAAAACTCAGGAGTCAGATATTGGGGTAAAAACCTGATCTCTCTGAAGAGTGACAGAGGAACAATCAGCTAACCCTGCCCCTCCACACTCCCAGACAGATAAAACCACACATCTTTCTAAGGCCCTCCCTACTACTTCCTGTGTCCTCCTATCTCAGTCCTCCAAAACCTCTATGGCTAATTCTGGCCAGCCGAATATTGACTTTGCCTTCTAATTCAAGGTTTAACTTTATTGGAAGCCTTGGAGTGTCAGTGAGAATAAATCTCCTGCAATATTTCCCCCCTTTTGTCTAAATAAAAGGGAATGGTTTTAATTTTAATACAGTAATACTATATACAATAAGAACAACTATCAGGTATTGCCTATATAAAAAGGGAAGGTTTTAACTTTAATACAGTAATAATATATACAATAAGAACAACTATCTGGGATTGTCTAAATAAAAAGGGAAGGTTTTAAATTTAAACTGTACAACAAGAACAATTCTCAAGAATTATACTCACAATGTCCAGACAATTTGCATCTGGCAAATTCAGAGAATATACTATCTATCCTACATTGGTAAGTCCAAATTTTTTAACTTAATTCACTTTATATCATATATTACCATCCTAAAAATATCTTTTTAGACATTAAAACATTTTCTTAGATAAATAACTTAAGCTTTTATATTTCTCAACCTTATAAACTTTACATCTCTTTTGTAGATTTTTTCCTCTGAATTTGATAACAAAGAAAACTGTAAAACTATAGCTATCTATTTATTCTTCAACCCCGTCAGAGACTCAAGAAGGATATAATATTGCCTGAGTAAACAGGAAGTGCAGAGGAAATGACTTCCCAAACTATAGAGATGACAAAGACAGCTGACTGCCCGGACAGTCACCCAAGTTTCCTCTGCAGCATTTGGGCGTCCATCTTTGGCCTAAAGGCCTGGAATATCTGACTCTTTTCTGTGAAGCAGAAATTTTGAAGAACTGTCCTACCTCATCTTGGCAAAGCTCAGTAGTCACTTCCTTTTGTGTCCTGCTTGTCCAATTTGGACAGCATGCTTTCATCAGTAGAGGCAAGGCAGTTTCTTGCCCAGTGTCTAACTTTGCCACAATAAAATTAAATTCCTCCATATGGAGGTTCTTTGATGCCCATCATCTATTTTTGCTTGTTTGTTTGTTTTTGTTTTGTTTTAAAGTAAATTGGTGCTGTCAGGAGTAAACGTGTCTCATTACTATGTAAACTCAGTTATTAAAATGTCTTAAATGCCATATTCTTTAGGGTTCTGAAATGTTTGAAGACCACTTATCTACCTAAAATATATTTCACCTTGACAACATAACTAACAAAGTCACAAATTTGATTGTTGTAGATGACTAACTACTAACCTGCATTTCTTATTATCCTGGATAGCTTTCAAGGACTAGAACTTTACAATTAAATTTTTAAATGAACTGAATAGGTACAATACTTTAAACAATAGAAACATATATACAGCATGTTCTAACAAAAATAACCTTAAATTTGTATCAATATACAAAAATACCTTAACCAAGAACAGAAACATATATACAATACGTTCTAATAAAAATAACCTTAAATTGTATCGGTAAACAAAAATCCATATCAATGCAAAATACTTGAGTCTACTAGTTGTTTTATAAAGTAGATTTAATAATCTACTCTTTTATCCTATCATTCCCATATCCCCCCTACTTTCTTTTCAGAAAGAGATTCTTGAATCTAACCTCCTTTGCTTAACTTTTTCTTTGACCACGACCATTAACAACTTGTAACCAACCCCCCTAAACAATGACAAAAATCCATAATCCACAAAACAGCCAAAATCCACTCACCCCATCTCTTAGTAATGTGGGTATTGTGTTTTTAAATTTACTTCCTGATGTCTGAAAGAAATGGCAACTTTAGGAGACCCTGAGAAAATGTAGACAATGTTCAAGTACTGCAAGAGCTAGCTCTTGTCCAGTCTCCATGTGAAGGGTTTATCTGAAGTCCCAACTGGAGACGTCTATGAGGCTGAACCATCTTAGATAACTGTTTTAAAGTTGTCCTGAACAGTTTGTAGTCCAAAGTTGATCTTTGGGTAGTGTTTGTCAACTTATGGCACTACCACAATCCAGGTGGATTTGTTGTTGCAGCGTCCCATCATCTTCTTAGAAACCTCAAAGGTCACTGCCAGGAATGGTCATGGGTCACTGAAGAAAACTTAACACACTTCAAATGTCATATTCAGGAGATCTCCAAAAGTCTTAAGAACCACATTTTGTTAAGTACATCCAGGGTATATAAGCTTAGTTACTAGTTACCTGCTTCAGACTCAAGCCCAAAATCACTTACAAGAGCTAGATGAAGCCTAATTCTAAAATTAGTTAGAACTCATATGACCACTAATATCAAGTGAGAAATATATATATATATATACATATATATATATATATATTCCTATAATTTTTGAGATATTTATATCTTAATAAAAGTTTTAAAAAGTCAAAATAAAACCAAAGGATTATAAGAGTAGTGATAATGGAAAAGTCCCATACCAGGTGGCTTTTCTGACATGAGACAGAGATTCTGGATTTTCCTTTAACACGCATGCTTAGGTTTAGAGAAGGAGAGAGTCACACTCCAACTCCTAAGTTTTGAGTTTTAATTGAATTGGAACTACAAAAAGATCATTTGCCTTATATGTCTTTAGAAAACAGCAAAACAAACATTTGGGAAGATTTGTAAATTTTTAGCCTATTAGAAATGTGTCATTATAGACCATTATATACCATTAGGCCAATTTACTCTTTTTTTGGGGGGGAATTTTCTCTTAATGATTCATCCTTTTTCTTACAATGTCTTATTTGTTCAGTAGTCTTCAGATTTCTTAGTTGGATGCTTTTATTCTCCTGGAAAGACAAAAACAAAACTCTGCCCCAACCCTAACTTTGGGGAGTTTCTTTTTTTGGTAGGTTATATCTGATAAAATAAAAGGCATTTGTTAGTCTTACAAGTGAGTTTAGATCGAATGGCCACATTGTTTAATGAATTATTGCCTCTCCTAATCAAGAGGTCTCTCTTGTTTGAATCTCATTTTTATCAATCTTGATGGTAGTTTTTCTTCTCTTATGCAAACAAAAGCAAAACCTCTTCCCCAACATAACACATACCCTGGTTCCCATTCTGAGGCCAACATATCTTTGAAGTATACAGGCTGATTTAATTTAGTAGTTGTTTTCTACTATCCAATGTCTCTCCACAGCTGTCATTCCTTTCTCATTAGCATTGAAAAATTTAAAGTTAACAAAGCATTGTGTAATCTATCTCTTGGGGGCCTTTATTAGCCTTTCTGTTTATTAAGCATATCTTTTAAAGTATAATTAGATCTTTCTATAACTACTTGTCCTGTAAGATTGTGTGGTATACCTGTAATATACTTTATGTTGTAATACACAAGACATTGTTTAATTTTACCAGAGACATTTGCTGGAGCATTGTCAGTTTTAACTTATACAGGATTTCTCATAATGGTCATACTTCTAATAAATGTTTAATTACAGAATCAACCCTTTTCAGAACTCAAAGCAGCTTCCCATTGAAATCCTGAATATGTATCTATGGTATGGTATACATACTTAAATTTTCCAAACTCCACAAAATGAAAAACATACATTTGCCAAATTTCATTTCTTTGGGTACCTTTTGGGTTACATCCTTCAGGTAGTAGAGTTTGTTTATACAAAGAACAAGTGGGACATTTCCTCATAATTTCCTTGACTTGTTGCCAAGTGATAGAAAAGTATTTCTTCAAATCCTTGCTATTAACATCATGTTTCTTATGTAATTCTGAGGCTTCTAGCACATTTCTTACCAATAGCTTATCAATTTCATCATTACCTTGTGCTAAAGGGTCTGGTAGATCTGTATGGGATTTAGTATGTGTTATATATATAAGGGATTATTTCTATTTTTGATTACTTCTTGTAGTTGAATAAATAACATAATTAACAAGGTTGATTCTAATAATATATTTAATTATATATTAATATCTAATAATTAACAGTTAATTCTGAATCATATGGAGTAAGTTCATTGGTTTCAATATGTAAAACAACTCTATGCATATTGAGTCAGTAATATATTAACAAGTCCTGGAAAATCTAATACCATAAAATTCTGACTTTTGAACAGAATAAGGGCTTTGAGCCACTTATTTCTCCTGACTTATTTTTTTCCTGACCTGTTTTTCTGATTTATTTGCATCAGAGGCTCTAGAAATTGGTGTTCCTCATACAATGTGAGAAAGAATCCAATTAGTTCTTTTCATAAACTGAAATCTCTTACTTTTGGGACACTTGTTGCTACTCTTTCAAAAAAAAAAAAACTACTGCAAGCTCTTTTGAAACAACTGATTCTCTAAATCTCTTCAAATATTAAACTTTTACAGGACTTCAGCTAACTTCTGTATAGCCTTGGGGATGCCTATCATCTGGTGGTCATTCTTGTATGGTAACTACTTTCCTAGGTAGAAGCTGAGTTGTCAGTCCAGGTCTCTACCTGGCCTCCCTACCACCCCCCCATACACACATCACTGTTTACACTGCTGTGCCAATGAAGGGCTAGGACCAGCTTTTCCAAGTGCTGTGGCTGACGAGGGGCAGGACCATCTCAACAAGTTACTGAACATCAACATGACTTCAGGTGGCAGCCCAGACCATGGACATCCACAAGGCCTTTGGTGGTAACAGCTTCCAACTGCAGTAGGGCCACAGGCCCAGATCTCATGGTGTTCCAGCTCCACTTCTCTCAACAGCAAACCAGCTGCTCCTTTTCTCTCCCATCTCTCCACTGTGTGCTCTATCCCTCGCATCTCTCCTCCTCTAGTGGCATGTGTCACAGCCACTTCTGGCCACCCCAGCCTGCCTTCAATGTTCTTTTTAAAATTAGTTTCTTGGGTTTGTG